TGAATAAAAATATTTTGATTACTTAAAAATCTTAACATTTAACCATGTTGGTTTAAAACTATTTTTATTGCCTTTTACTTGGATATAACTAATCTTTTTCATCATGCATTTAATACCTCAAAATGGATTGTATAGATATTGGGGTCTCCTGTAATGTGTAGTTTTAAAAAAAGGTATCAGAAACGTGTGCCTTCTAGAAACCGGTATAAGAAATTGCCTGGCACATGGTTTTTTGGTTGGTGTCCCGTGTCTCTAACACCACCACCCCACCACCCCCATTGAAGTGTCCATGTCCCCACAAATAACATTTTAAGGTAGGACCAGTTCCAGCGAATTACTCAGCTAACATTCCAATCCTTAACCAGGCATTTTTTCCTCTTCTCTATTTGATAGCCTGGTTCTTTAGTCAACTCGAGCATTTACACTGTTAACAAAAGCTAGGCAACTCATTTATCTTTGTATACACTTTGCCTGCAGCTCACTTTTTGTAGTTGAGATAAATTAGGTATGAGGTATTTGTGACCTTCTGGTTGGTTTTTGCTTTCTTAAGTATGTAATAAAATAATAAATCATGAAAAAAAATCCCTAGCTCTAAAAGAGATACAAATCAAAACAACTATGAAATATAATGTCACCCCAATAAGTATAGCATGATTTAACAGAGCAGCAAACAACAAATGCTGGCGAGGTTTTAGAGAAACTGGAACCCTTTTTCACTGTTGGTGGGTGTGTAAAATAGTGCATCCACTCTGGGAGGCAGTTTGGTGATTTCTCAAAAAGTTGGAAATAGAAATATCATTTCCCCAGCAATTCCACTACTGGGAATATACCCTAAAGAAACCAGAACTGCCAACCAACCTGATGTGTGCACACCTATGTTTATTGCTGCTTTGTTCACAATAGCAAAGAGTTAGAAACAACCCAAGTGCCCATCAACAGATGAATGGATAGAGAAGCTGTGGTAAATTCACACAATGGGATACTATACAGCACTGGAAAACAAAGAACTCATGAAATAATATACAAAATGGGTGCCCCTTCAGGACATTATGCTGAGTGAAATATCTCAGTCACAAAAGGAAAAATACTGCATACTGCTACTGTAATAAAACAGGACTGACATTAGGGTTGGGGGGAAACTAAGAAAAGAAGGGATAAATAATACACACTGCATTGAAACAGATGAGGGAGAGAACCGCTTAAAAAATGAATATATTTTTGGGTATTATTTACATAACAGTCCAGAATAAGAGTTCCATAGTAAAGTGGATTGGGGAGGTGAGGAATTTTACAACAATAAAATAATTTTTTTTACACAAGAAAAGCAAACTTGGGGGACGGGGTGGGCAGGAATGAAAATATGCAATAATGAATGGATGGAAATACATATTCTTGATACACTGTCATTAAAATCTCAATTATAAAAAACAGAAACACAACAAAACAAAGAGTAGAGTAGAGCTGGTCCATCACTTTCTTGACTTATATTTATTGTTGGAGTCTCTTGAATGTACAATTTAAGTGCTCAGGTCCTAATGTGGTTTGAAGAGAGACTTGAAGTGCTTCCAACAGATCAATGGCTTGAAAATATTATGAAATAATCCCACTTTGCATACTAGGCATCACCATAAGTTAGGATTCCTTAGTGGAAACTAGCAACAACAATGATTTTTAAGGAAATGGATCGCCACACCTTTCTTTTCAGGTGCTTCTTGGTGAGTCTGTACCACTTTAGAAATTGAGTGTAGACCTATTTCTGTCATCGTTCCAAATGAGTTTGAAGCTAATTGTAGCTGACCTGACTGCAAGTTTTCTGAGACTGCCAATCTCATGAGAGGATATTGTTCAATCTTCCTCCTGTGGAGAAACTTATGGATTCAAATTTCCTGCCTTTGTGTTGGTAGGGCAGCTCCTTACCCACTGGACCACCAAAACCTCACTTTTTGCTATTCAGGGGCCTTCCTTCCTTCCTTCCTGCATTCACTTTTAATATTTTCGTTAATATTTTAATGAAAGTTTACAGAAAACTTGGATTTCCATTCTTTCATTGTTGCACATTTTCCTCCTTTCCTCTGCCCCCAAGTCCACTTTGCTATACATCTCTTATTCTGGACTGTTGCCATGCAAATAATACTCAATCATATAATCCTTTTTTGTTTTGTTTTGTTTTGTTTGTTAGCTTTGGCATCATCTTCTTTTTAGCAGTGTGTGATGTCTGCTTTTGGATTTTTTTTTTATTTTAATGGACATTAACAGAGATTTTGGATTTTCATTCATTCATTGTTGCACTTTTCCCTTTACCAACCCCCACCCCCATTCTGCTCCTCTCTTTGAAAAGCAAAAGATAAACTTCTTCGTTGGTATAATCCTTTTAAATAGTTCTTTCTTTCATATAGGGGCTTTTAAAGAGATGTGAAGAAGGAGGAATGGCCATTCTGATAGATTAGTGTATTTCTTTATGGTCATTTTCTTATGTATTTAAAAAAATACAAGTGACTGACTTTTATAACTTTATAAATAACTTTTATAACTTATTAAAATATATTTTTTATTGCTTAGGGGTTATAAGAATTTTCTTATTCTTAATGATTATTTGTATATAAAGGCTTTTAATGGTTGAATAATGTTGCAAGCTTTAGATATGCTTTGCTGGTTTTAAAATTTTTCCATTACAAAAGAGACTTTTATATACATTTTTGTCAATGAAGTGTGATTATTTCATTACCAAGGATTCATTGACCTCTTGAACTAGATTTTTAAAATGGAATTTGTGGACCAGCATATATGAGTATTTTATACATGCTTGATGAATGTTTAAATTATTTTGAAAAAAATGTTAAAGCATTTTATGTTCTCATCAGTATACCTGCCCAACACCACTACAACAGTGTTGAAGACATACCTATATTTGGTGTATGTGTGTTGTTGTTGATGTTGTTGCTTGGTGCTAGTGGGCTGAATATGACTCACAAAAACCCGATGAACAGCATGTCTGAGCCCTATGCCATCCTAATTGTCTCTGACACACTTGAGCCCATATATGTATATACTTTGCATGTTTGCATGTTTGTATGTGTATATGTTGTATATTTTCGAGGTGGAACTGACTCATAGCTGACCCTCTAAAGAGTTTTTAGAGGCAGTAAATTGTATGGGAAAAAATTTCCCATTTTCTCCTGTGCAGCAGCTAGTGGATCCAAACCACATATCTTTTGATTGGCATCATGATTCCTTACCACTAAACCACCAAAGCCATCTATCTATCTAGAATTGGAACTGACTAAATCGAGATAGTTAGATAGATAGATAGAATGACATGTTGTTGTTGTTGATTGCCTTTGAGTTGAGCATGACTCACAGCGACTCTATGAACAAAA